CTCCCGACATCCCGGAGCCCTTCCCACTCCCCTTATCCCTGAGGATCCCTTCCCACCTTCCCATCCCGACATCCCATTCCCTTCCCACTCCCCTTATCCTTGAGGATCCCTTCCCACTTTCCCACCCCAGGACTTTCCCAACTTTCTGGGGCCCTTCCCACTCCCTTTATCCCTGAGGATCCCTTCCCACCTTCCCATCCCAGGACCCTCCTGACATCCCATTCCCTTCCCACACCCCCTGAGGATCCCTTCCCACCTTCCCATCCCAACATCCCATTCCCTTCCCACTTCCCTTATCCCTGAGGATCCCTTCCCACCCAGGACCTTTCCTGCTCCCCTTATCCCTGAGAATCCCCTCCCACCTTCCCATCCCAACATCCCATTCCCTTCCCACTCCTCCTGAGGATCTCTTCCCACTTTCCCATCCCAGGACCCCCCTGATATTCCAGAGCCCTTCCTTTATCCCTGAGGATCCTTTCCCATCCCAGGACCCTCCCGACATCCCGGAGCCCTTCCCACTCCCCTTATCCCTGAGGATCCCTTCCCACCTTCCCATCCCAGGACACTCCTGACATCCCTGAGGATCCCTTCCCACCTTCCCATCCCAACATCCCATTCCCTTCCCACTCCCCTTATCCCTCAGGATCCCTTCCCCCCTTCCCATCCCAGGACACTCCTGACATCCCTGAGGATCCCTTCCCACTCCACTTATCCCTGAGGATCTTTTCCTACCTTCCCATCCCATTCCCTTCCCACTCCCCTTATCCCTGAGAATCCCTTCCCACCTTCCCATCCCAACATTCCAGGCCCTTTCCCACTCCTCCTGAGGATCCCTTCTCACCTTCCCATCCCAGGACACTCCTGACATCCCTGAGGATCCCTTCCCACTCCCTTTATCCCTGAGGATCCCTTCCCACCTTCCCATCCCGACATCCCATTCCCTTCCCACTCCCCCCAAAGTTCCCTTCCCCCCTTCCCATCCCGGTCCCTTCCCAGCCCCCCCAAGGCCGGCTGGGAACCCTCCATCCCAAATCCCCGTTTTTCCATCCCCGAGTTGCCCCGGTGGGAATTTCCCCCCCCATTCCCGCTCCCCCCGTGCCTCACTTTTCCCGGGATTCCTCCTCCACAGGCCGGGGCGGGGAGACGGTTCGCGGGATCCGCCGGATCTCCGGGGCCAGGGTGGAATGTGGGCGCGATCCCGAATCCAGCCTGGCCCCCATCCGGGTCATCCAGATCTCGGGAACGCGCCGGGAGGTCGAGGCTGCCAAGGTGAGCGGGAAGGGCGGGATGGGAGAGCCTGGATCCCTCTGGATCCCGCTGGATCCCACTGAATCGGGTATCCATGCCCTGGTGGGATGGGGGAGCCTGGATCCCGCTGGATCCTGATGGATCCCACTAGGTCCTGATGGATCCGATATCCATGCCCTGGTGGGAGGGGGGTGCCTGGATCCCAATGGATCCTACTGGATACCACTGGATCCCTCCAGATCCCTCTGGATCCGATATCCATGTCCTGGTGGGATGGGGGTGCCTGGATCCCTCTGGATCCCGCTGGATCCCTCTGGATCCAATATCCATGTCCTGGTGGGATGGGGGTGCCTGGATCCCGCTGGATCCCTCTGGATCCCACTGGATTGGGTATCCATGCCCTGGTGGGATGGGGAAGCCTGGATCCCTCTGGATCCTACTGGATACCACTGGATCCCTCCAGATCCCTCTGGATCGGGTATCCATGTCCTGGTGGGAGGGGGGTGCCTGGATCCCAATGGATCCTGCTGGATCCCTCCGGATCCCACTGAATCGGGTATCCATACCCTGGTGGGATGGGGGTGCCTGGATCCCAATGGATCCTGCTGGATCCCTCCGGATCCCACTGGATTGGGTATCCATGCCCTGGTGGGAGGGGGAAGCCTGGATCCCTCTGGATCCTACTGGATACCACTGGATCCCTCTAGATCCCTCTGGATCAGGTATCCATGCCCTGGTGGGATGGGGAAGCCTGGATCCCAATGAATCCCACTGGATCCCTCTGGATCCCTCTGGATTGGGTATCCATGCCCTGGTGGGATGGGGGAACCTGGATCCCTCTGGATCCTGCTGGATTGGGTATCCATGTCCTGGTGGGATGAGGGAGCCTGGATCCCAATGAATCCCACTGGATCCCTCTGAATCCCTCTGGATCCTACTGGATCCAGTATCCATGCCCTGGTGGGATGGAGGTGCCTGGATCCCATTGGATCCCTCTGGATCCAGTATCCATGCTCTGGTGGGATGGGTGAGCCTGGATCCCACTGGATCCCCTTGGATCCCCCCGGATCCCTCTGAATTCCTCTGGATTGGGAATCCATGTCCTGGTGGGATGGAGGTGCCTGGATCCCTCTGGATCCCCCTGGATCCTGATGGATCTGATTTCCATGCCCTGGTGGGATGGGGGAGCCTGGATCCCAATTAATCCCACTGGGTCCCGATGGATCCCACTGGATACCACTGGATCTGATATCCATGCCCTGGTGGGAAGGGCGAGTCTGGATCCCCCTGGATCCCCCTGGATCCCTCTGGATTGGGTATCCATCCCCTGGTGGGATGGGGGTGCCTGGATCCCTCTGGATCCTGCTGGATCCCTCTGGATCCCACTGAATCGGGTATCCATGTCCTGGTGGGATGGGGGTGCCTGGATCCCTCTGGATCTGCCTGGATCCCTCTGGATCCCTCTGGATCTGGTATCCATACCCTGGTGGGATGGGGGTGCCTGGATCCCTCTGGATCCCTCTGGATCCCTCTGGATTGGGTATCCATACCCTGGTGGGATGGGGGTGCCTGGATCCCACTGGATCCCCCTGGATCCCTCTGGATCCAATATCCATACCCTGGTGGGATGGGGGTGCCTGGATCCCTCTGGATCCCCCTGGATCCCCCTGGATCCCTCTGGATCCCTCTGGATCTGCCATCCCCGCCCCGGTGTCCCCGTTCCCAGAGGCTGATCCTGGAGAAGCTGTCGGAGGACGCGGCGTTCCGCAGGGATCTGGCCCTGGCGGCCGCTTCCCGCTGCCCTCGGAAGCAGCCCCTGGGCAGCCGCCGGGACCCGGAGCCGCTTCCCGCCGGGACGTCGGAGCGCTGGGATACGGAGTGGTGGGAAGGAGCCATCCCGGGGCAGCGGGAGGGGAGCGAGGAGACGGAGGAGACGGAGTTTGGGAATGAGGAGACGGAACTCGGGAATGAGGAGACGGAGCTCGGGAAGGAGACGGAGCTTGGGAAGGAGGAGACGGAGCTTGGGAAGGAGGAGACGGAGCTTGGGAAGGAGGAGACGGAGCTCGGGAATGAGGAGACGGAGCTCGGGAAGGAGCTGGAGGAGCTGGAAAACGGGAATGAGGAAGTGGAGCTTGGGATGGAGCTGAAGGAGCTGGAAAATGGGAACGAGGAGCCGGAGAACGGGAATGAGGAGCCGGAGGAGCCGCCGGTGGAAAAGTTTGAGGGTGAGGGTTTGTGTCGCCCCTTGGGATGGGGTTGGAAAACTCTGAGGGGGGAGAGGAGGGAATGAGGAGTCAGAGGGTGGGAATGAGGAGCCAAGGGGTGGGAATGAGGAGCTGGAGGAGCCAGGGCTGGGAATAAGGATCTGGAGGAGCCAGAGGTTGGGAATGAGGAGCCAGAGGCTGGGAATGAGAAGCCAGAGGGTGGGAATGAGGAGCCGGGGCTGGGAATGAGGAACCAGGGCTGGGAATGAGGAGTCAGAGGTTGGGAATGAGGAGCCAAAGCTTGGGAATGGGGATCTGGAGGAGCCAGAGTGTGGGAATGAAGAGTTGTAGGAGCCAGAGGGTGGGAATGAGGATCTGGAGGAGCCAGGGCTGGGAATGAGGATCCAGGCTGGGAATGAGGAGCAAGAGATTGGGAATGAGGAGCCAGGGCTGGGAATGAGGAGTCAGGGTTGGGAATGAAGAGCCAGGGGCTGGG